CCCGATTCTCTGATTCGCAGTGTGGATGGGAGGGAAGGTCTAATTTGTTTGTTTGCTTTGGCTTGGCTCCCAAAGGCTCTACAACAGGCAATTTGAAAGTCTAACAGAAAAGAGGCCCAGATAAAAATAAAAAGGAATTTCTATTAATGGTTGACCATTAACCATTAAGTGAGCCTTTAATACTGACCACGTAATGCCTTCTTTTTTCTGTTCCTCCTTTTTAAGGTCTCTGAAATCCAGTACTGGGTGCCTATAAAGGACAGTAGGTCAATGTGCGTGCGTGCGTACGTGCATGCGTGCGCACACACAGATTGAGAACATGTAGGCAAGTAGTTAATCTACAGCTGCTCCTGAGACTGTGGGTTGTGTCGGTTATGTCCCAAGAATGCAACTATTTAAAAAAGAATAACAGTAGCATCATACAACTGAGGCCTGATGTTGTTCTCTGTAGGGATGGATTTATCAGGCTCAGTCTGAGTAACTTTCAACTATATATATACAGTGGTCCCTTGGTTTAAGAACAGTTTAGTTTATGAACAACTTGGATTAAGAACGCTGCAATCCCGGAAGTAGGTGTTTTGGTTTGTGAACTTTGCCTTGGAATAAGAACATGTTTTGCTTCCTGTTGAGTGTGTTCCATTTGTAAATTGAGTCCCCCACTGGTATGGGAAAGTACGCCTTGGGTTAAGAACGCTTTGGTTTAAGAACGGACTTCCGCAACAGATTAAGTTCGTAAACCAAGGTACCACTGTAATATATATTACAGCATTGCCCCAGCTCAGAATGCAGATAAGAGGATGATTGTGTGTTTAAATATACCATCCCATCAAACCCTCCTGCAGGTAATCTAGCCTGTCAGGGAGGAGGTGATAAAAGACTCTGATGTGCTAATGCTGCAAGCGTAGGGATTTTTTTATTTTTTATTTATTTTACATGGAAGGGAGACATTCAAATATGATTCCTCACTTGCATTCTAAAGCGGCAGATTCAGAGGATAACTGCACTGTGTTCAATTTCAGAGTCTTTTGCTGGCATGTTTTTACAGCAGTATGCCAAGGGACCACCCTGAGGGCCAGACACCAGACACCCTGCTGAGGTTCCCCATCCCTGCCATAGAGACTAGACCACCTGCCTGGGTACTGAGGCCATTGTCAGAGGCCCATCCCTCAGTCTCACTGCTATCAAAGGTGCATCTTGTGGTGTCCAGAAAAAGGGCTTCTTCAGTAGTCCTTGGAAATTTTTACTCTCCAGTGAAGCTTGCCCAAGACCATGGCCAATATCTTTTCTTCAGCAAGCAGAGATCTACTTATTTTCCCAGGTCTTTTAGATTGTTTGTTTTATGCTGATACTTTCTTTGCTGTTCTGGTTGTTACTTTTTTATTTTATTGGTTCTATCGTTCATGGGTTTCTAATCTTTTCCTGTAAGCCACCCTCAGAATTCTTGCTGGATCGAAAATGTCAAATTGCTTATGTACATAAAATGAACTGAAATGTGAAATGGAACAGGAGATAGGGAAGAGGAAAAAGTAAATGATTGTGCTTCAAAGTAAGTGTAGTATGTTTTAAAGACTGCAATCCTATATACGCTCACGTGAGCTTAAGTCCCCTGCAACTCAATGAAAGGTACTACTGAGTAGACATTTTTAGGATTGTGCTGTAATTAAAATATGCTTTTAGTGCTCTTTTTTAAAAAATATATACAGTAAATAACAGGTAAACATAATAATGGACATGTGAGCTAATGAAAGTGCTGTGAAGGTGATTTGTATTTATACCTTGTCTATACAAATAATGGTTTAACTGTGCAATTCTAATCTCCAACAATGAGCGAATATGATCTTTTTTAAATGCTCTGATTGCCTTCTAATTTAAGCTTGTTCATAAAGCTCGAATTCCCCAGAGACTTAATCCCAGAGTACAGGGTGGGTGGGATGAATACTTCTCACATATTTATTCCTCTTTCTACTCCTCTGAAGCTGAGATTTTAAAGGTATTTATGCACACGAACAATCGCTTGTTATTCACCTTGCTTTGGTGGTTGATTTCAGTGTGATTTTCTCTTTTCGCAAGCAATGAAAGCATTAAATCAAACACACCTCTCTGGCAGTGTTATTTTCTCCTTCATCTGCTGATAACCGATCAAACACAGTTTCGAGGCTGTTTTTTCTCCCCATCTCATTAGAAAGAAAGAGGGCCTCTCCCCCCCCACCCTGATTCCTGGAGTACATTAACTTGACCAACACATCACTATCTTCCCAGCAAATTCCCCAAGAGGCTTCTGAGGATAAAGTTAGCCATTAGTCGTTTCATACTCCCCAGGCTCTCCTTTATGCAGATAGCATGAAAGCTCAGTCAGGCATGAAAGCCTTTATCTGTGCACTAAAATTAAATAGTGTTTCACTTCTTGGGGATATAGCTGGCACTGTACACGATGGCTATTTGCTATGCTGCAGTGGTTGGCTTTGAAAGGATGCTTGTCCCCTCCATCCCCACCCTGGCCAATGTATAACCTATCTGGCTGGCTGATGCTGTGTCAATCAGTTTTTGATAATGAAGGTTTGTTATCAAGTTAGGTCAGGAGGTTGGGTGATAAGTGAGATGCTGCTACAGCTGCCATCTCCTGTTCTTTTAAAGTTTACCCTGCCCATCCCCAAGAGGCCCATCCCCAAGCTCCAAGATGGGAGCTACTTTCCTCTGGAGTGATCCCATGCTGCTCTGGTAAGACTGTGTATGAGAATTAGACAAGCACATTGTCAGGGACATGAGCATGGATCTTTCCCACCCAATCTCAGCACTCTCCAAAAGTATGCCAGTTGTCTGGGAAAGAGTGGCAGGATTCTTGTACTTTGCAGGCAGGAAGTCCCAGGTTCAGTCTCTGGAATCTCCAGTTAAAAGGACTGGATAGCAGGAGAACCATCGTCCATCAGAGTAGACAACACTGGGCTGGATGAACAAATAGTCTGAGCTGGAACACCACAGTTTCCTCTGCCTGTTCTGTCCGTGTGGTCATTTAATTGTGAATGGCAATAAAGAGATGGATGCATGAGTGGATTTAAATGGGACCCAATGCCATTTAAGATCAATTCACAGTTAACATAGACCAGTGATCAAGGAGAACCCCAACAGTCTCTGTGTCCGAAGGCCTGGAGAGGCTGTCCTGCCGATGGACCTCAGGGCCCACCTCAACAGTAAGCTGTCTCATTCATGGCAAGCCTGCTCAATCCAGGATGAGCTTAATGCCAGCCAAAAGAACAGCTGCCCAGGGATCACCCCACCAGTCCAAAAGAACATGGGATCACCCCACCAGTCCCCAAGGTGGGCAACTTCCTTGGGAGCTGTCTTAACTTCTAGTCTGCCATTTAGCAAAGATATTACCTCCCAGACTCTTATACTGTCTAAATGGCTCCTGCTTGATCACTGGCCTACCAGCCAAGGTGTGGCAGATGAGTGAGTCAATTGAAGCCAGATAACCCCCCACCTACCCAATTTTGCAAAACGTGCAATAATTTCTTCCTGGCTTCCACAGGGTGACTCTTAGGGCAACAGCCTTAATTGGAGGGGGCACAAGGTGGAAGATGAGCTGCCTATCTAGCCCAAGTGACTGAGAGCAGGGCCCTACTTAAATACTCAGTTTCCCTTGTCCTAGTCTCACGAAGGACGCTGGTCCTTGCTATATCCAAGTGGTTTCTGTAAACATTAATGCTCATCTGCATGAATCCCATTACTTTTACTGGCTCTCTCTTGGACATTTCAGTGCTCTCACATGCTTATAATGACAGAGGTGAGAGTTCATGGAAGAACACAGAGTAGCTTCTGTGAGTGGCAGTGGGAGTTTATGAATCAAGAAAGCTGCTTTGGCTCACAATTCACTTGCCATATATAGTCAGGCTTTATTGGAAATTGCCATCAGGGCTGGTTGTATGAGCCTGGCCAGTGGGGAAGCTTACTTTCTTCATTTTCTTGAAACTGGCTGCCAATTTGGTCCATTTTTTAAACCCCTCTGTGAATATCTGCTCATGCTTAATTGAATAGCTGGAGCTTTCTCTTGTTTGCCCCCACATGTTTTATAGTCCTTGCTGAGAATGTGATTTTGGCACGCGTAGAACAAGAGGGGACCATATGTAGGCGCTCAATGGGGTGCTTGCGTCATCCATTTAAATTAGAAAAGAGATTTGCCCCTGTCATTGTCACTGTAATTCTGTCACTCAGTGGCGCTTTTATCTACAAAAAGGGTCTATAATTAAAACGATGAATTAATCATAATGTAGGCATGTGGTCAAGAAGTCTAATCTTTCCCTGACAGCCACAAAGTGCTTTGACGTTAATACACACACACTGTGAGCACAATTCATACAAAGCTTCACTGAAATGAATGGGCTTGCACGATTGCTCATGGCAAGGCTGCTTGGGCAGGGAAAGTTCCAGAAGGAATATGGGAAAAGTCCTTCAGAAAGATGCTGTGTGCTGCCATTCTTGGAAACTCTAGGCCTTTGTATCGGTCCAGATTTCCAAGGGCTTTTCACGCGGCAACCAAGCTGAATAAATGATCTGCTAATTTCTCTTGGAGAATTACTAAAGCACGCTTTAAAGAGTTCCCAAATCAGGGCAGGGTTTTTAAAACATGGTTATTATTAGTTTGGCAATGCAAGTGCATTATACCAAATCTTGCTCAGCCACAGGAGCAGCCCTTTGACTGATCTGCCGATACGTCTGGCACTGGATGGTATGAGTCTAGGTTCCAGGACCATCATTTGAAGGGCAGAGAGGCAGGCGTAACTGCAAGTGGACTCCAAGGCTAGCTGAGTGCCAGCCCAGAGAACATCTGTGGGTTTGGTGTGATGCCTGAAAAGGGGTACCTGCACAGCACACTTACAGCTTGTTAGAAAAACACTGGGGGCTAATATGAATAGTAGAATGCCTGTCATCTGGTGGGTGGGGCTTTTGTGCTGTGCTCCGAAATCTGCCCCTCCCTTTGGGTGTTCAGTTAAAGTTCAGTTAGAGAGGCCAACTGTCATTCTTGCCTCATGATGTTGTCTTAGTTTCTGTCAGATAGTATGTTATTGTGTTAGTTTTCTTTATCATGAAAGCTTTGTTTGACATTTACATGAGCCGCTTACTTTGCTGAAAGAAAAGAAACTCTGCTGAAGAATGGTAGAATATCCTAAACTGGTGAGTGAGGGGATATTCTCAGTCTGACAAGAGGATTGATAAAAAACAAAAAATCACCCAACTCTCCACAACACAGCTGTCAGATGTCTATTTCAGATGTTGAGCTGATTGTGTGGACCGCAGAAGGGCTGAGGTGGCAGGCAGGGAATATGATGTCAGGGGAGGGTCCTAAAGGCATGGTCCTGCCACCCCTCCATGGTGTATGTATAAGGTGATCCTCTAAGAAAAAGAGGCTGGTATCATTGATTCACCTTGTGCCCAACATCCAAATTCAGCCTATAGATCAAGGCAGACATGCTTCCGCCATTTTTGTTATTTTGAGATTTGGTTACTGTTAGCTTATTTCTTTATACCATCTCTTACCCAATCTTCACCAGAAGGTCCCAGAATAAATTATAAAATACATAATAAGGTTCCAGATGGAGCAGAACAAATTATTATCATTATTAATCGTGATAATAACTACCCATGCTTCACTCTATGGTCTCAGGGTGGGTTACAACATTAAACATTAAAAACAGTTTAAAACAACTTACAGTCACAAAAATAAGGTGGTCTCCTAAAAACATACACCTCAAGTGTCAAAAGCCAGGGAGAAGAGTTGTGTCTTCAGCGTTGGCCAGGATCTGTACAATGAAGGTGCCAGACACACCACCTCTAAGTGTGAACAAAATCTAGTGTTTTTGCTTTTTCAGATTTCCAACTTGCTACCATTTTGTTCTCCTTCTGTGTGCTTCTAGCGGCGATGTGCATGTTACAATGAACAGAAATAGCTCTGCCTTAAGCAAACATTTTACTTCTTATCATGGAGCAAAAAGTATGTGTAGGAAATGGTGTCTGTCAGATAAGAGCTGCTAATTGTTAGGAAATGGGTGAGCTCAGGGTTAGTTATCATCAGCGTTATCACTTCCAGTTCACAAGTACATTTTTGAGATATATGTATTTCGACTATCACGTTATGTGAAAGCCCCTCTTTAAAAACATTGGTTCATGGTTTTAAAGCTAATAAATGTGTGACAGGGCCTATCAAAGTGAAAAGGTTCACTGTGATAGTTCATGAACATGTATTTCTGTACATTTCTCTATTAATTTTTTTATTATTATACAATACAGTCACAGCAAAGCAAGGATTATAACATTTTGTTTATGGCATCATTTTACACGGTCTTAAAACATTGGCAGCCTTTATAGGTTCTCCACAGAAAGGTTTGTGAGGCTGGTAGGAGAGCTTTACTTTCTTTTCCCCTTACGTATGAAAAAAAGGGAGACCAGGTTTCATCAAAGGTATTTTCCTTTATAATTCCATTTACAACTCTTCCAAGCTCAGTTAGTCACTCTGAACTAACTACGTATATCCCAAATACTGTTGAACCAAGTCACGAAAGGTAGCTCCACCTTGGCTTTCCAGTGATACAATACCATTAGATGTGTAGCTACCAATAATAATTAAATCTTTATGCTGGATATTAGGGTTGGAATCTGAGTTTAGTGAAAGCAGGGCTAAGACTGGGTTCGCCGAGAGAGGTTGTTTAACAATTTTGGAGATAATATTGAAGACTATGGTCCAAAATATATTTAAAAAATTGCATTCCCACCAAGCATGAAAATGTGTTCCATATTTAAGTATTTGTGAAATTTTGTAAGACAAAACCAGAAGGAAATAGTACTTGCAACTGGGACAAAGTAAATAGGATGTGTAGTTTTCAGCAAATGGGAGAACAGCTGAGTTTCCACAATATTATCTTGGAGAACTCAGGCTTACCGGTTGGTTATAGATCATCTGCATTGATTGTAAAGTCAGAAGTCCTCTGGTTTAGTCAATAGTCCAGAGGCAAGTGTTACGTACTGAAGTTTTCACTCTGGGCCAGCAGAGGGATACTGTAGATAGTTTTTACTCAGGTCCACATATGCAAATAAGGGATTGAAAGTGACGTTCAGTGATTGGATAGTTACAGAAAGTGGTTACTGTTGCGTTCTAGTGGAGCTCTATATAAGCAGGCTGGCTGAACCCTTCAGTTCAGTTCTGTTCTGGCCTGTGAATAAACAAGAGCTGTTTGAAGAATCGCTGTGTCGTCTGATATGTTCACCCGCAACTTAACAGCAAGAGCTAAGTTTAATTTGCCACAATTATTAGAATTTTGTCTGAAGTGATCTGGAGTGAAGGAAAGAAGTGTGACTTGGCTCACCTGCCTGAGGAACCCACTTAACTCCTACACGGGTAGCTTTGTGTAGTGTACATGCTATTGCATGTGCACACTATCTTGAACTGTTGTTTGTAGTTTAATCTGAGTATCAGTTATTTAGAAAATGTATAAACCAATTTTTAGGACGCGGGTGGCGCTGTGGGTAAAACCTCAGCGCCTAGGACTTGCCGATCGCATGGTCGGCGGTTCGAATCCCCGCGGCGGGGTGCGCTCCCGCTGCTCGGTCCCAGCGCCTGCCAACCTAGCAGTTCGAAAGCACCCCCGGGTGCAAGTAGATAAATAGGGACCACTTACTAGCGGGAAGGTAAACGGCGTTTCCGTGTGCATCTCTGGCTCACCAGAGTAGCTTCGTCACGCTGGCCACGTGACCCGGAAGTGTCTGCGGACAGCGCTGGCTCCCGGCCTCTAGAGTGAGATGAGCGCACAACCCTAGAGTCTGTCAAGACTGGCCCGTACGGGCAGGGGTACCTTTACCTTTACCTTATAAACCAATTTAAAATTTTGGCAAAAATCCCAAAGCAGTTTTCAAACATCTAAAGACAGTGAGTGCAAATGATCAGAATGCATGAGACTCTCAATCTCAGGGTCATGGGCTTGAGCTCCATGTTGGGCAGAAAGGCAGTGCAGGGGGTTGGACTAGATGACCCTTGTGACCCTTCCAACTCTACTGCCCTATGATTCTATGAAATACATTGCTGAAATTCTGCCATTTAAAACAGGAAGTCAGCAACCGAACAGGATAACATTCTCAGTAATAATAATAATAATAATAATAATAATAATAATAATAATAATTTTATTCTTTATACCCCACCCATCTGGCTGGGTTTCCACAGCCACTCTGGAAAGCTTACAGCATATCTAAAAGCATAGTAAAAGCATCAAGCATTAAAAGCCTCCCGATACAGGGCTGCCTTCAGATGTCTTCTAAAGTTGTATAATTCTTTATCTCCTTCACATCTGGAGACATCATAGGCCAGGTTAAACAAAATGAGTTTTTAGGAGACATTTGAAACATCCAACAGATAGAGCTTCCCAATTCTCTTTTGGGGGTGTGTTCTGTGAGGCTGGTGTTACAACAGAAAAGCCCAATTTCTTCTCTTATATTTTAATTATTTGCAGTTGTAAAAAATCTCCAATTGATGATTATGGTTGTTGTTGTTTAAAGCACTATCCTAGGGTTGCCATATTTCAAACAGTGAAAATCTGCACAACTTGCACCAATGTGAGCCTGCCTGGGACCTAAGCTCAGCCTTTGTGATCCTGCTCATAGACTTGCCACAAGGAAGAATTTGATTGGCTGGCCCAAGACATAAGGCCTTTTCAGTGGTGGCCCCAGGCACATGAAAGTCCCTCCCTAGATTTGCATGTATTGCATAGTTCCTACGCTGAAGGCTTTTAAATGGACCTTGAAAACTTGCTTTTATATTCCAGATGGCTTTTGTACTGCTGCTAGTCTTTTAAGTGTGGTTTTGCTGTCTGCTTTTACACTTGTATTATTTTACTGTGCTGATATTGTTTTAGCTATACTTGTGGTGATTAGTCCTTGCTGTAGTTTGAAAACTGGTTAAGCGCTGCCGAATGATATTTCCCAAACTAAATAAATGTCTGCTGGGCAACATTTTCATGGGCAGAATTATGAACTGGCATGAGAAAATCTCCCTACTTGAGGTCTGGGTTGCAGTTTTCTACTTTAATCACTCCTTTGAACTTCTCATACAGAACTGTAGATGCTATTGCTCAGTATGCTAAGAGCATCCCTTAATTTCCTCCTAGGTAACTATTACTATATGAGGATGCCCAGGAATGTCCAAATTGCCACTGCTAAAAATGAGGGCTATTAGCTGTATTGTCAATATCAGGAGAAGGACACGGGAGAGTGGATGCAGCAAATGCAATTAAATGGGAAAAGATAGAAGGGAGAAAATCTCTATCCATTATTTAGTTTTAATGAGACAAGAGAAAAATTGAATATAGAATCTATTAGACAATTAGCTTCTTAAAAACTAGGGGTCCATGGTCTATATTTGGCCTAATATAATGCTCATTTTTTGGTGTAAGACAGGAGAAGAGATAATTACTTCAAGTTCTGTCATATTCCATCTGCACAGATCTGCCTAATTTCTCTATTTTTCTTTTTTTCCACATTGATCCTCTCCATCTTTTAAGACTTTGGAGTGAGATGTGAGGAAAGAGACTGAGGAGTGGGAGGGTGAATGGGTATCGAGGGATGGCTAGGGAAAGCAGCTGGAGGTGACATTTATTGTGATGAAAGTGCTTTACGATGAGACACATCAGTACAGAGACAGTGTGGGATGCATGTGTGCAAACGGAATGGCTGCATATGTGCTTTTGTGGGTGGTGTGGCATTAGGAGTCACTAGGGATGTCTGAGAATTCAGATGGAAATGGTAGCAGAAATGGCCTGTGTTCACTTATTTGTCCCACATCCAGAACAGAAATCCATCCAGCAAATAGTACCGGTATTCGTAATCACTGCTGCTGCTGCTTTCAATCCAGTAATGACATGTAATCAAGCACTTTCCTTGCACTGAAATGAATGGGGTGGAATAATACAATGACAACATATTTTACACAAGTAATAAACTTCATAATTTCAGTGAGATGAATAATGCCATTCTTGGTGCAAGATGAACTGAAGGAGAATGGAAACAGTGCTGCATGTGACGAACATGGGCTGGAATAGAAAACTATGCCTTCTTACATGCCAAGTACTCATCATTCAATTCAATAGTCACTGACTGAACCATTCAGAATATATTTTTCAGAAGGAAAA